CACTATAGCATCATGATAGACAAAACGATGATAAACAATGATAAACATGATGAACGATGATAAACAATGATAAACATGATGAACAATGATAAACAATGATAAACATGATTCAAAAACAATGTGAAGAAATAAAATAGAATTACTTAAAGAGGAAGATTATGCTTAAGAAGAGGGATAAAAGACAACGCAGAACAGCACAGTTAAGCTAAGAATGAACGCATTAAAATCAGGACCAAAGCAGAAAAGAACTGTAAAAATTGCATTGTATCTTGCTAAATTTCATCTCAAATAAATTCATCTGTATCAAGAGAAAACTAAATGCAAATCGCCGCATAATGAGACAGGGGAAAAGTGGAAGGCAGATGAATTCACTGATGAAATTTGCTCTGAACTTACTAAGAGATTCTAAGAAGTACTCACGAGCGATACAGGTCACTATACTTATTGGCCTGCTCAGGTAGGCCAATAAATATACTTGGCCTGCCTGGTAACCCTTTAAGCGGTAACTAGGACAACGTTTGGGATTGTTCACATTAACGGAAGACGATTTAAATGAAACATCTAGAAACAATGGGTAACGAAAATAACAAACATCGTGGAAAGGCAAAGATATTCAGGAGGAAGATACTTAAGAAAATCTTTCTTAACATAAACATATTTTCATAACGCCAGAAACACAATAAACTCGTTTGAAAAGTTTGGACATTCGTGCAGAATGCCACGTACAAGATTTTAAATTATTCTGCAGTAATAAAAATAACCACAAGAATGATGAATTAAACACATCTGGATATCTTCAGCCAAAGAGCAAGTGATAAACACCTTAGTCTTGGAGACTAAAGTATATAAGTACCCATCTTCCTGCCTGTGCTTCAGTCTTTGCTACGGAGTCTTCAAGAGTACAATTGTTTTTTGGCTCAGGGACTGATTACTCAATCTTCGACTATTTGTTGTATATATTTCAATTATGTCCATTATTCCACTGATAAAGTCACTGGTTGGCGAAACGTATACAAGTAAAGATATTCAGATGTAGGACAGGTATGTAATTCATCATCTTGTCGACACTGAATATCATCAATATACAGACAAAATAATTCTGTGGGTGGCGTTTTTCATCAGAGATATATTGAATTTACTCATTGTAGTAAAACAAAAACTTAAGGAAAAGATATAGAATCTATCTGATTAGAATTTGTAGAGTACGAAAAGCTGATTTCAGTTATTATAGCGATCAATGGATTCTGCTTTGGGACGAAATAAAGCATCAATAAACGAAAATATAGCAATTCTCTCAGATTTGAATTCCAGCCAAAATGACTGATAATGTTTTATTTGCAATCTGAATCCAGGGACTTCCTAGAGATTGTCTAGAATTGATTCTTAAAAGTTTGTGAAATAACCAACTGGACGTAATAACCTAGAGGTCACAGAAGAGTTCCTCACAAGTGACCATAAACACATAACTTAAAATATTTCTCGAAAATATAATAATTAGAATAGTGCAGTAAAAGTCTTGAATTTCGCTCGGTGGATTACAATTGACTTTGGGAACACTTGACTAATGTTGAATGGAATAATGTAACAAATGATTACATTAATGACGGTTTTGTATACTCTATTGAATAGAATTGTCTGAGCGAAGTGTTTCTAACTACAAAGAAGGTGCCTGTATAATATATTTTCTACACAGATATCAGATCCAAAAAAAATGATCTGAAGTGGATGATTATCGGTCTAAAACATCTAATACGGAGGATTAGAACTTTTCACCGCATTAGAAAAGGAAACGCTCGCCTTACAAATTAGTAAGTTCATATAAAAATAAAACTTATAAAAAAATACAATAAAAAGTTAAACGTGACTGCAATTGAAGTTGCAAGGGAGTCCATCACTTGGGTCTGGATATCTTGCTGATAACGAGGGGGGCAGGTATTCACTTTTTAAAACGCTTATATATTTTCGAGTTTCCACACGCGAAAACACAAACATCTCAGTAATTAATAATTACAGAGGGCGAAACATAACGATATTACGTGATATCATAGTTACTAGAGGTATAGACATCGAACAAGTAGATTGATTAAAAGATAATAAATCTTTGAATCCTGACGCCTTGTCTTCAAGTGTCCATAAGGAATGGCAGATGATACTTAGTGTGCTGGTATTTATTCAATATATCACTGCAAACAGGTATGGTATGGGAGATGTGGAAGATGGTAAATGCGATTCTTATCCACAAAATTTTAAATCAGAAGATACCATCGAATTATCGCCCAAGTAGCATGGCCTCACTGGTGAGCAGATTATTAGAAGCAACGAAAGCAATGAAAAGTAAAAGGACACAAGTGCAACTAATGTGACATTTATTGTGGCAACGTTTCGCTCTCCAGGAGCTTTATCAAGCCATTACAGCAATGAAGTTACCTTCATGAGTATAATATAATTAATGAATCGCGCTACAGATCCACAAATTTACTGACTTTCTTAGTATGGCATATGATGGGGTGGATAATGATAAAGAATATGATGTTATTCATTTGGATTTCAATAAAACCTTTAATAGTCACACAGAATGCTAAAGCATTTGCAGCACTGGGTATTTGAGGAAATTTGGCATCATTAATCAAGGCATGTCTGGCTGATACACAACAGAGTCATGGTATAAATAGCCTGAAATCCATAGGAATCCATAGGGATCCATAGGTATCCATAGAGATCCATAGGGATCCATAGGGATCCATAGGGATCAGGTTTGTGCCCCTTGTTCATAATCTACAAATATTAATGATCTTGACAAAACATAAATTCGACCTGAGAAAATTCACTGACTACAAAAAAAATAATCAATTAAACCATTGACCTTAAAGAAAATTTCGACAAGTTAATGTCGTGGTCCGAAAAGTGGCAGATGCAATTTCGGCGTGGAAAATGCCAAGGCCTAACCTCGTGTTTGAAAGTAACTTTAACATATATGAACCAGTTGACGTGTAATTTGATCATACCGAACTTTGGAGTCATGGTCAATAGAAGTCTGAAACCCAAGCATGCATAATAAGGATGACAGACTATTTGAGTTTATTTCAAAAGGAATAAGTAACAGGAGTCCAATTACTAGCTACGAGGCAACGAGAGTAAGTTGGAGTGAGGTGCAGTTGACTAGGGCTGTGTTGCAGCGGTAATTAATATGTTCCGTATCGCGTAGCGACTAAAGTATAGTTATTTTATTTAGGGGACACGTTAAACTCGGAATGGTCATACAGTGCCTGTAGAAACGGACGCAATCATGTCTGATGCGTCAAGAAAGAGTTTAAAAGTTCAGCTGCAGCTGCTTTGCTACCCGAGTGCATCGAGGTACAGATCACAAAAGGTCTGTAGTGTCTAGACTATCAGACTAAGAGCAGTGTGTGTTACCAGGTATATAATTGTTCTAATTGGTTACAGTCCATGAAGAGATGCACTATATACATTGCATTTGTTTACATTTAAATACCCATAGTATACGCATTACTAGGATTGATAATATAAACTTACCGCCTGAGTCTGTGGAGTGTGATTAAAGAAACATTTTGGGAACACCATGAATTATTATTAATGAGTATATGCTATACTCCAGTTATACACAAGATATGTTTGTGAGCGATTTGAGGGGAGGCAGCTCTCATTCTTCATTGTATTATACTAAATGTCAAGAGGTAAGGTAAATGCTTCCCCTCTACTCCTGGCCAGTGACTCCAGAATGTCTCCCGTTGCTTGGCTGTCCCCACACGCAAAACAGATGTGATCTGTAGGCGTGTAGACTACATACTTGAATTACTAAGTTACTTAAATTACGTCTTTAGGTTCGTTTAACTTTATACTTATAAAAGAGACTGAAATATTAAACTATTAAAACTCAACTGTTAAATTAAACGTACAATTAAGGTATTGATAGTTAAAAGTCAAACCTGCATCCAGACGAGTATCATATTACAGTCCTCCACCCCCCTTTTCTCTCATAACGTTGTCATCCCCCTCTCTCATCTCTCCCCATAGGACTGCAGGGAAAATAACGGTAATATTTGCCACATGTGGCATGGGTTAAGAAGCAGGGAGTTGGGTTTTTTTTTTAATATGTGGGACACCTATCTAGAATCGCCCAGTAACCAAAGCAAATCTCGTTTAAAAAATGACATTGCATATTTGAGTGAGAGGGGTTGGATTTGAGTGGGACTTGCATATCAGAGCTTATTTCTTGGATAGCATTGAAAATTGGGTTGGGCAAATGTTTTGTTAGTGGGATGAATTGTAAAGGACCTGCCTAGTATGGGCCAGCAGGCCTGCTGCAGTGTTCCTCCTTTATTATGTTCTTATATTCTTATTTGGAAAAACAAGCAGTCAAGTGCAGCCTTATACTCTAAACAGGATGCATCAATACTGAACATTTGAAGCCGATCATAAGAGGCACTCTCAGGTTATCACGTGAAACATAATTTTGCCATTTGCAAAATATAATTTGCAGACAGCCATCAACACAGCCCAGAGCTTTCTCATGATACTGTATGACTACGTTGTATAATATGAATGAATTCAGTATCTTATGTAAGATGGAAAAAACATGTGGAAATCACGTCAAGGTAGGTTAAATCAGGTCAGGTCAGGTAGCGCATTCATCAGCGAGGTTAAGATGAGTAAGCTGTGTGTTGGGTTTTCCGCCTCAGATAAAGTTAGATCAGCGTATAATTTGAAAAATGTAGTTTGATATATCTCTCAGCACTCATCCTGAGTAAAATCAGAATATTCGTCAGGTCTAATCAGTTCCTTAATACTGAGATCAGTTATGATGGAAGAAAGAATTTCACTCTTCAAGCTAAGTCAGGTCAGTACATGAGCCAGATGAAGCAAATGAAAAATATCAGGACAGTAAATGCACTAGGTCAGAACATGCATACGGCCATGTGAGTACTTTACACAAGAAAGGACCAATAAACAGGTATGTTACGTGCTTGTGTCTCCCTCAGGTTGGGTGGGGTCCACCAGTTTGGCAGTGTCGAGGCTTTCAGCACCACTTGTGGTGGCACTGTGCCGCAGGAAGAGCACCAGACTCACCGCCGTCATCGGGGGGCTCATCATGGCACTCGCTATTCTCTTCGCTTCTTTCGCGCTACAGCTTCACCAGATCTTACTCAGGTAAATAATATTCACATAAACACACTGTGTAGGTGTCCATTGTCAGTGCATCCACTAGTGTGAATGTCCAACCTCACTGTATCCACTAGTGTGAATATTTACGTTACTATATCCAACGTCACTGAATCCATTAAAGTATCCAGGGGTCACTGCCCTTATTAATTTAAATGTCTAATGTCACTGAATCCTACAATTATAGCTCAATGATCATTATATACATTAGTGTAAATATCAAAGGTCACTGTATCTACAGATTTAATGAAATAAACCTTGATAACTTAAAACGAGAAATTGGTTCAAAAAGACACGTGAGCAAACACTAGAACATACCCTTAACTAAAGGATCCACTATTGTGTCTGTGTGTGTGTTACCGGGCACTATCGTCTACTGAGAATGATATATGTGTCTCACACATTATCCTGGCTACCCTGACACCATGTACGTGTATATAAGCTAAGGAGATTCCTGCACACTGTTGCAACTGTTTTTTATAACCTTGTACACTGTTTCAACTAGAATTTAGTATCTTTGAATGTAAATTCTGAGCATTGTTGCAACTGTTGTGAGCTTTGAAGGTACTGCATAAACTAGTTTATTTGGTGTATTGTAACAAATAAGTTATTGGAGGAACTGTATCAAGAACCTGAGACTTCAGGTGATCAGCCTCTGGAGGACTGGTGGAACCTGAGACTTCAGGTGGCCAGTCTCTGGAACACTGGTGGAACCTGAGACTTCAGGTGACCAGTCTCTGGAACACTGGTGGAACCTGAGACTTCAGGTGACCAGTCTCTGGAACACTGGTGGAACCTGAAGCTTCAGGTGACCAGTCTCTGGAACACTGGTGGAACTGAACTTCAGGTGACCGTTTGGAACATGGTGGAACTGAATTCAGTGCCAGTCTCTGGAACACTGGTGGAACCTGAGACTTCAGGTGACCAGTCTCTGGAACACTGGTGGAACCTGAGACTTCAGGTGACCAGTCTCTGGAAACTGAACCTGAGACTTCAGTGACCATCTCTGGAACAGGTGAATGGATTCAGGTGACCAGTCTCTTTAACATGAACCTGGTGTCATAATAACATGATGTGATGTGAATTTCTTTTCTCCATTAAGCATTTGTTAATATATGTAATTGATCATCCACGTGAAATAATACAAACTATGAGAATTTTCTGAGTGTCATTGCATTCACTTTAAATATATTTTTCCTCGAACTTGTTTTCTTTATACAATTACCTCCTTAGAAGCTATTTAAGCAAAAGAGCCACAATATTTTAGAAATAGCTACCAGAATTCCTGCTCTCTAGTGATGAGGTAATCAGTCCTCATCCTCAGGCTCAATGAATTTCTCGGTTCTCTGAACCAGCTATTTATACTCTAGTGACTATGAGATCAGACTATCAGATTCCTTTTTCTATGGAATATTTTGGCGGACTGCTGATCAAGCCCCCACCACCACTTGCGCTGACTAACCAACATTAATTTAGCTCTTAACATAGATTAAGTAAATAATTAAATGTATTTGTAATTAGCAAAAGAGTGCATCAAAATAAGCCGCAGCGTAAATAACACCTAATCGTATAACGCCACATAATCCACTTGTCCAATTGTGCACATGAATGAGGCCGTGATATATGACTCCAAAATCAGGTGGTAATAAACCACTGTTTTTTAAATGTCGTATTTTTATCTCGTCTAATATAATGTAATTAGCTCCTGGAGAGCGGTAAGCTAAATCGGATTCGTTATGTATATGTTGATTGTATATGCTAAGTGTAATTAAGGAACACATGTGCAAGAGTTAGGTATCCTTATTCCGGAACGCTTCGCCTACACTGTAGACCTATTCGGTTAAATACAGAGGAGGCAGCAGAAGCCTTGGAAATGTCAAGACGATGTAGTCGGTTCATCATCTTCAAAGAAGTAGTTTTGAGATGGTGAGTCTCTCTGTCTGGAGAAGAGTTGAGTTTCATGCACTTGTTCCAGATTATAGTGTTGATCTCTTCTCCAGGCTGAGGGACTGACAATACTACTTCGAGAATGATAGACTGATTACATCGTCTTCCATCTTCGTTACTTCTACTGTTTTCAGTGTAGCCGAAACGTTGCGGAATAAATACCTAACCGTCGATACGTGTCTATTACTACTTGTGTACATATATATTATTACATGTCTGTGACTTTTCGACTGAGTTAGGCATGAATAATGACAAACAATTTTGTTAGTGGGTTTGGGTTTGAAAGGGACTTGCCTAGCATGGGCCAGTAGGCAAGCTGAAGCGTTCCTTCTTTCTTTTCTTCTTATATTCGTGCTATCTGTAATAGTGAGAGTGTTGATTCTCCGGCAGCTACGGTCTAGTCCTGGGTGTGGGCGTCGGTATGACCAGGGAGACAGCCAACCTCATGCTGGGTCAGTACTTCAAGAGAAGGCGAGAGTTTGTTGAGATAATCGCCCAGTCAGGATGTGGCATCGGCATTACTCTCTTCTCTGTCTTCTTCAAGGAAGCTATAAGGTAAGGCATTACTCTCTTCTCTGTCTTCTTCAAGGTAGATATAAAGGTGAAGCTTTACTCTCTTCTCTGTCTTCTGCTATAAGTGACTATCAATTTGGTGTAAGCAGTTACTGTCGCTGTGTTTAAGGTGACTATAAAGTGATGGCATTTGCATACTCTTCTCTGTCTTGTGTAAGAAAGTTGTAGTTTATGTTGTTGTGAGTGTGTGTTATAATATATTTGTGTGTTTGGTTACTTTGTGTGTATGATTTGTATTACATATTGTATTTTATTTTGGTGTATGTTGTGGTTTTATAGTATTTGCTGTGTTTTATGTGGTATTCTAGTTGTTTGTATTAATTTTTGTGTTGTGTATTTGTTGTATTTTATTTTGTAGTGTTGTATGCTTGTAGGTATGGATGTGTGTTTATTTTGTTTTATATGTTCTGTATGGTATCTTATGTATGTTATGTGTATATCTAGGCGAGCAGTATGGTGTAGTGTGTGCTTGAGTGACTGTGGGCAGGTTGTTTATTGGACGTTTGTGTTGTATGAGTCATGATTTTTAGCGTTACATGTTTTGTAGTGCAATTATACACGTTATGTGTTTAGATTTAAGTCATTGAGGCGGAGGGCTTAGTAAGTGCAGTTGAGATTCTAGTAAAAACTCACTATTTGTGGTCACAGGGTGATGTCTACTTCCTATGGTCCGAATCCTGTTGTGTCGTGCTACTGAGTGGTCCACCACGCTGGAGTTTTGACTCATGACCGCGTGTTCAAATCCCCCTTCTTAAAGCTATGTATGGATCCTGCATCTACTACATCATTCTCCAGATTGTTCCACTTCCTGACAACTCTATGACTGAAGAAATACTTCCTAACATCCCTGTGACTCATCTGAGTTTTCAGTTTCCAGCTGTGACCCCTTGTTGCCCGTCACCAGAAGTACAAAGCATATTAACAGAGGTACCAAGCATTCCACCAGAGGTACCAAGCATATTACCGGAGGTACCAAGATATTACCAGAGGTACCAAGGATATTACCAGTGGTACCAACCATATTACCAGAGTGGTACATCGATCAACAACTTCTGCATCCAATTCGCATTTGGAGAATTTAAGTTTATCCTTATATGAATGTAAACAAAGAGTCATTCATTAACTTCTTATGCCACTTACATTCGCCTCTCCTGGAGTACCAGCACCTGCTTGGAACCCACACTTGAAAATAATATGTTACGAAAATACACACTTGTCTTGGAGAAAAGACTAAAGGAAGTGAAACTAATATTATAGGAATCATGATTGACTTATAAAATATTCATTGGGCAGGGTAGGGTGGACAGGAATGTGTTTGAGAGATTAACATGCAGGGGAAAGGATTAAAAAAAAACTGCGGTGAAAGTAAGGAAAAATATTGATAAAATAAATAGGTAAGAGAAAAAAAATGAAATAGGTAGTGATAAAAGAAAATAAATAGATGACCGGACTGGAAGTAAAGGAGACAACATAACCAGGGAGCGATAAAGAAGTCAGTCATGGATAAGAATAGTTAAAGAATAAAAAGACAAATACATGACTGGAGTAATGCACAAATAACCCTTACGTAGGAGAATGAAACTTTAGATGACGTTATGGTCCGACTTGAACCATTAACTAGTCACACAGAAGCGCGAAGATAAGAGAGCCAGTATATATACGAGAGTGGGGACGGGGCAGGTAGAGTGAGAGTAGGTAGTAGTAAAATGGTAGAGGTGGTGGTAGTAATGGTAGAGGTAGTGGTTGTAGTAGTAGTAGTAGTAGTAGTAGTAGTGATAGTAGTAGTGATAGTAGTAGTAGTGGTAGTAGTAGTAGTAGTGATAGTAGTAGTAGTGGTAGTAGTAGTAGTAGCGGTAGTAATAGTAGTGGTAGTGGTACTAGTGGTAGTAGTAGTAGTAGTAGTAGTAGTAGTAGTAGTATAGTAGTAGTAGTAGTGGTAGTAGTAGTAGTAGTAGTAGTGGCAGTAGTAGTAGTAGTAGTAGTAGTATAGTAGTAGTAGTGGTAGTAGTAGTAGTAGTAGTGGTAGTAGTAGTAGTAGTAGTAGTGGTAGTAAGTAGTAGTTAGTAGTATAGTGATAGTAGTAGTATGTAGTAGTAGTAGTAGTGTAGTAGTGAGTAGTAGTAGTAGTAGTAGTGGCAGTAGTAGTAATAGTGGCAGTGTAGTAGTAGTAGTAGTAGAGGTAGTAGTAGTAGTAGTGGTAGTAGTAGTAGTAGTAGTAGTAGTAGTGATAGTAGTAGTAGTGGTAGTAGTAGTATGTGGTTAGTATTGTAGTAGTATAGTGTGGTAGCAGTAGTAGTAGTAGTAGTAGCAGTAGCAGTAGTAGTAGTAGTGGAGGAAACCAAAATAGTGTCATACATATCTACTTAAAATAATTGTGTCTACCAGTGAAGAACATGAAAATGGCAGAACATAAGTCATGTTCTGCCTGAAAGAACTGTGAGAGAAGACAGACACCAGTGGAAGGATGATGACGAGACTATAATAATGAACATACTGCAAAAAATTAGTGTGAAAAATGCGCAGAAAGAAACGTATATAGTTTTTAAGATGGGAATTTGCAACAAAGACAAAACAAGGCCGCTAAAATTAATCTTCAGAAGTGAGGCAACGAACCAAGTGCCGAAAGTTACAGCAGCAGATTGGTTTTCTTTCTGTATCCAACTGAGGAAAACCAGAGGAGGAGGAAGAGGGGAGGGGGATGAGGAGGAGAGGAATAAGAGGAGGGGGAAGAGTAGGTGTTAATTTGATATTACCCTGAAAATATTATATTTTAATTTTGAATAAAAAAAACGTGAGTGCCGCTTGTGACTGACTTCAGATCGTAAGCAATAATTAGTAACTTCTGCAGCATTCAATAGTCTTCCTTTATGTACAATGAATTATTAGTAGGCTGGGCTTGTGGGCGGGTTGTAATAGCTTTCCCGCATCCCAGAACGACCGAAATACATCTCGTTTTATATCCAGTTAAAATCCTGGTATTTCAGATGATCCACTGTTCCATAAAGCGGCTCATGATATAACGAACACCCGCAAATTTTCCATTTCCTCTGACTTAGAAAATGCTAATCTCATTTTAATGCTTAATTCGAACAATATATTATAAATCAGGTTGATCATTCATTTAGTTTCGGCAGCTCTGCACCAGAATTTAAAAAATAATTACACTTAACGAAGTGGCTTTATCAGGCGAGTGTCTGTGCTGCACCATTATCAACGGTGCAATAAGACCCTCAACACCGCTATCACAGAGTATGATACGACATAATTTAAGATTGCAACCACACGCGTACTGACAAACCTCTTGGTGAAAACGGAAATGCTTTCTTTTTTTGTGAGTGCAAATTTAGTGACTTTAATAAGCTGGTTGGTTAACGAAGTTTAAACCTTATCGGCTACACCAAGGTTATTAAGGCTGCACGTAACTTTTCACCACCAGATAAAAGTATTTAAATTACTAAAGAGTAATTAAAGTAAACTCAACATATATACGTGGAGAGAAATGATTTTCTAGGTATATATATATCTTGAGATGAATAGTATCACATATTGGGAATGTATATTCAATTACTATAGTTGAAATTCTTTTTTGTAGGTGTATATACAATCTCTTAACTCTCGTATCACGCAATATACTTGACGTCAAACAAGTTTTAAAGCGTTTATAAAGCTTCGTTTAATTTTTAATGGGACTTTGGTCCATTGTGAATTAATGATCTGTTCTAACTCATTGCTTGATTCACTATTACACATAAGTGAATACGGCACTGTAATTGTTTGCAGTGAAGTATCGTCATTAAACGGAACAACTTGGGAGAGTTACACGGTTAACGAATTCTGCAGGCGTTACAACACCATTTAATTGGCTGTAGTTAAACGAACAGTTAACTGGTAGCACTTGCAAGATAAACTGGCACGAGTTATGCAACCCTGTCGCCGTGTGTATTAGTAGTGTGGAGAGAGTAATGGTAAATTACAAGCCAAGTTCTCTCCAGTAATTTCATCTGCTGCAGGTCGGTAGGCTGGAGGCTGGGGTTGCAGGCTGTGACAGGTGTGGTCTTCACCACATTTTTCCTGGGAATCTTCTACCGTTCAGCCTCTCTCTACCACCCTCAGAGGAGAGCCATCTTACACCTTAAGAACCAGAAGAGAAAGGTAAGGTCACCCGTTTCCTCTGTTATATCCTTGCATTGCTAACGTTATGCATCATTCTGCCTCTGTTATACCTTTTCACTGCTCGTGTTATACTTTGTCTCTGGTATGTTTTCATACTGGTTTAAGTATAGATTATACTGCATCTAATGTTATAATTCCTCTGGTATATCCCCATACAGTGTTACACATCATACTGGCACTAACAACACTGTATGTCATAATCTTCAGTAATATCCCATATTTCTTTTGTTATACATAATACTGGCTCTGTTGCACTTCCTAATACCTCTGGTGTCCTCTTCATGTTTTTGTAATTCATAATTAATCACATATTAGAACTTAGAGGTCTTCTATTGCACATAATACTTCCTCTGTTATATGTAGATCTCCCTTTTACTACTGCTATTATATATAATTAAATCATTATTATACTTTATATTGAAAGTAATATGCAACCTGCTCACCAAACATAACGGGGGATCAATGCTCGCCTTGCAGCTTACATTTTTGCTCGACAATATACTTTAAAAAATGACTTTTGTTGTTTTAATTCTAGGTTAGGTTAAGCTAGGATAGATTCACGTAAATTAATCTACATTCACGAGTAGCTCGCCAACAATAATGAAATAGCATATGATGAACGTCAATGTACTGAATAATCTGCATTACGCAGTACATTAAATATCTGATTTTAAAGGCTGACGACAGTGAAAATCATCGGGGTGTTTTCTCAGGCCATTTTGACAAACCCACAGAGCGATTAAAGAAAATAGTCAATAATTTGGCCAACGTGTAATTCAGTACAGTTGGTACAAGAAGTCTCGAAAATTTGACATATGCTCAGGAGAAATAAATTGACCTGATCTTGTGCTTTCCACAATTTAAAAATGTTTACTCATATTATTATCATCATCTATCTTGTAACTACTGACGATGTAAATTAAATGCATTAGTAATTTAACAACTGAGTAAATGGTCTGTAGGTTTGGCATTTTCAAATAGTTTCTAAAATATTAAAAAATCTGTCTAACATCATTTTCATCCGTAAAAAGTCTGATTTCTTAAAGCAGTAACTTCTAGTATACTTAATGAACAAAACGGATTGTATTAGAGTAATCACTACATCAGTTATACACAGGTATAATACGAGTATTTTTCTTTTGTATAAACTATAAAATATTGCATTGCATACAATATAGTATACAATACAGGCTGGCGAAATGCGAATTGTTAATTTTTCTGTGCAGTATCATATAACTCAGTCAGTCTCGTAGCTAAGATTTCTGTTTGAGTTATAAAACGCTGCTCAAGTGCTCACTCTGAATCGCATTTTATAATCTTTGATAATTGCATGATAATTTCAAGACGATTTATATTGGTATAACAATTACCGTGACTTTGTAATTTTTCACATTTTGTTTGTTCCTTAAATATTTTTAAGAGAATAATAATATGCATATTCATGAGTTTTTTAAGGTATGACCTGTTATAAAATGAATACTTTAGGTATGAATAATGACTAGGTTTATGAATATATTTAGTAATAGCGAGCGACAATTTTGGACACAATTATATACATCTGCAGACGATGATAATGACTTGTCTTGACGTTGAGGAAATTCTGGACGCGTCTTTGACTTTAGGACAGATATGCTGAGAAGTGTATAACTCTCAATATACCGTATATTCACTGGGAGATAAAGTAATCTCCAGTTTTATGGATTAAAGTATTCTTGACTTATGATGAACAGGTCACATAACGCCTTAATGACCCTCGTGTAGTCGATAGGTTGTAAACCCAGTTAACCAGCTAGTAATCTAATGGTTTTGATCATAACCATGATTTTTAAGGGGTGGATCAGTAAGCCAGAGAAAGGCCTCGGTCAGATGACCAAAAGCTCCAGCTACTGGTCATCATATGACTAAGACCAGTGTCAAGAAACACTTGTCCTGTTTCCTGAAAAACTTTATCCAATTTAGTCCTAACCAACAAAACAGTACATATCAAAAATCCGTAAACTCAAGCCTACGTAACTTGATGATTCTCTTTAAGAGACTATTAAAGCTATATGAGCCATTAATATACTTTAGCGCTTCAGATAATGGTCATAGGTCAGTCATTCCAACATCCACATCTGCTCCATAAATCCCTTTGTTACAGAAGACCTTCACCTGTTTTCTGTATAAGCCAGTCGCTGTATTCTCAACTGTTGCTAACATGTATTACATCTGAAAGAATGTGTCTTAAATATACCGCATATCTTTCACATGTATTTTGCAGGGGAACCAGATTGTAGGTTTCCATAGCTGTGTTATGGCAGCAGATCATCGTGCGCTCGTGTGTGGGGCCATCATTGATACATACATTCCAGTCAGGAACATTCCAATCATGACATTTCATATCATGTACATACGAGGAAGCACTGGTTGATATGTGTGCAGCTGACGCGAGAGAGCTGGACTATATCAGATATAATGCGATCTTCATACCGACACAGCTCTGCTATCATACCATGTTTTTCTGGGAGAGGAGCAGGATTGAAGTGACGTTACACGTACTCTGTTATACTGTTGCTTTTAATATTGCAAATATTATTGCTACTGTTTCCTCTTGTGCTTCATACTGCTCGACATACTTCATATTGTCAGTTGTATGTTATATACATGAACTGTCATGATTTATAGTACCCTTGAAGTATCTTAAGCTACCACTGTCATAATTATAACCTATAAATGATGTACACTTACTGCCTCCTATTAGGTACACATGTACTCCTGTTCGTTAGTGCAAATATGTAAATAGTGAGTCACGTCGCAGCACCTCAGTGACTAACAGCTTGAACACATATGGTCAAGAAGTTCAATTGTTGTGCAGACCAAAGATCAGAATAGCAGAGAAATGTGATCAAAGTGACTATGACTGTGAGATGATTGTTGGTGCCCCAGAGATGAACTAAGAAAACACTGTATTTCAGAAACTGCTGATCTCTGGGGACTTTCACGCACAGTAATCACTGGAGTTTACAGAGAATGATGTGAAAGATACAAAGCATCCAGTGGCTTGCAGTTTTGTGGACAAAAATGCCTTTATAATGAGAATGGTCAGAGGAGAATAACCAAACTGTGTTCAATTGAACCTGATAGAAGGTGACAGTTATTTTAAATAACAGCAAGTTACAATAGTGGTATGCAAAAGAGCATCTCTGAATGCACAACACGTCAAACCCTGAAGTGGATGAGATACAGCAGCAGAAGACCACTGGAAACTGAGGCTACAGTGGGCATAAACTCATTGAAGCTGGACAGTTAAAGCGTGAAGAAACGTTACCTGGTCTAACGAATCGCGATTTCTGCTGCAGCATGCAGATGGTGGGGTCTGAATTTGGAGTTTACCGTTGGGAAGTAGTGGAACGGGAGATTCGCAGCATGAATGTGCAGGCGAGAAATCTGCAGCAATTATGTGATGCTAACATGTCAACATAGACCAGGATCTCTAAGAAATGTTGCCAGCACACTTGTTGAATCAATGCCACGAAGAATTCAGGTTTTTGGGGAGCAAAGAGGAAGCCTACCCAGTACTATAAGGCTGTATCTAATAAAGTGGCCACTGAATTTATATCAAAATTTTATTGTTAAAATAAATACAACTCTCAAACCTCATATTATCAGCACTATAATGCACTCCAAGTGTATTATACCACCCAAATCTCAGATGTACTCGCACGTAAATTTGCCTGACTTAAAGCTTTTGTTGCTACTACTGTCATACTTTATATTGCCACTAATATACCTCTGCCACTAATATTCCTCATACTCCCATTGATATATCCCACACTCACTTTATATTGTCACTGAAATGCTTCATAGTGACATAAATATTCCCTTATTTTCCCTCATATATTTCATCCTCTCACTGATATTCCACATACACTCACTAATATACCTCATACTAATATACACTCACTAATATACTCTTACTGTTATACAAAAAGTTATTTGGATTATAAACGTCATTATTATTCACCAGGTAGCCTTGATCAGTATAATGTTATACATTATACTGACCAAAGCAAGCTTTACTCTTACAATGATGTACGTCACTCTTACAATGATGTACGTCACTTTTACAATGGTACAAATTACATTGTCTATGTTGTATAGTACACTGACGATAGTATTCCTTACAATCACACTGGTATTCATTATGGGGTCTAATATACTGACACTGGTATACATTACAACGACAGTTGTATGCAATACACTGACAGTGTTGTACATTACGCTAACAATGGTATACGTTACACTAATGATAGGATACTTTACACTGACAGTGGTATTCTTTACACTGACAGTGGTATTCTTTACTCTGACAGTGGTATTCTTTACTCTGACAGTGGTATTCTTTACACTGACAGTGGTATTCTTTACACTGACAGTGGTATTCTTTACACTGACAGTGGTATTCTTTACTCTGACAGTGGTATTCTTTACTCTGACAGTGGTATTCTTTACACTGACAGTGGTATTCTTTACACTGACAGTGGTATTCTTTACACTGACAGTGGTATTCTTTACTCTGACAGTGGTATTCTTTACTCTGACAGTGGTATTCTTTACACTGACAGTGGTATTCTTTACACTGACAGTGGTATTCTTTACTCTGACAGTGGTATTCTTTACTCTGACAGTGGTATTCTTTACTCTGACAGTGGTATTCTTTACTCTGACAGTGGTATTCTTTACACTGACAGTGGTATTCTTTACACTGACAGTGGTATTCTTTACACTGACAGTGGTATTCTTTACACTGACAGTGGTATTCTTTACACTGACAGTGGTATTCTTTACTCTGACAGTAGTATTCTTTACTCTGACAGTGGTATTCTTTACACTGACAGTGGTATTCTTTACACTGACAGTGGTATTCTTTACACTGACAGTGGTATTCTTTACTCTGACAGTAGTATTCTTTACTCTGACAGTGGTATTCTTTACACTGACAGTGGTATACTTTACACTGACAGTGGTATTCTTTACACTGACAGTGGTATTCTTTACACTGACAGTGGTATTCTTTACACTGAAAGTGGTATTCTTTACACTGACAGTGGTATACTTTACACTGACAGTGGTATTCTTTACACTGACAGTGATATTCTTTACACTGACAGTGGTATACTTTACACTGACAGTGGTATTCTTTACACTGACAGTGGTATTCTTTACACTGACAGTGGTATTCTTTACACTGACAGTGGTATTCTTTACACTGACAGTGGTATACTTTACACTGACAGTGGTATTCTTTACACTGACAGTGATATTCTTTACACTGACAGTGGTATACTTTACACTGACAGTGGTATTCTTTACACTGACAGTGGTATTCTTTACACTGACAGTGATATTCTTTACACTGACAGTGGTATTCTTTACACTGACAGTGGTATTCTTTACACTGACAGTGGTATACTTTACACTGACAGTGGTATTCTTTACACTGACAGTGATATTCTTTACACTGACAGTGGTATTCTTTACACTGACAGTGGTATTCTTTACACTGACAGTGGTATACTTTACACTGACAGTGATATTCTTTACCCTGTCAATGAGAAAGATTACCTTTACAACAGTACACTGAGACTGTTATATTTCATTGAGAAATAATTCGCTCTGAATTTGCCAATTTTTCTTTGGGTTTAAAGTATCTCTATATGAGGTTAGTTGACAATAAACTGGGCCAATCAATGACAGAGATCATTTAGTCTCTAAGATTTATTTTTAAAGGTAGTTTAGCTTGATTCATTGAATCAGCTTAATTTTTTTACGCTGAGGATCTGTCCTACGTTGTTACAGCTTAATTTTTTACACTGAGGATCTGTCTTACGTTGTTACAGCTTAATTTTTTACACTGAGGGTCTGTCTTACGTTGTTACAGCTTATTTTTTTACACTGAGGATCTGTCCTACGTTGTTACAGCTTAATTTTTTACACTGAGGATCTGTCTTACGTTGTTACAGCTTAATTTTTTTACACTGAGGATCTGTCCTACGTTGTTACAGCTTAATTTTTTACACTGAGGGTCTGTCTTACGTTGTTACAGCTTAATTTTTTTTTACGCTGAGGGTCTGTCTTACGTTGTTACATCTTAATTTTTTACGCTGCTACATTGTTACTGTTACGTATATCTAACTATGTTACACTTCACGTCATTATAGTTCTCAGTGTTACATCTGGTATTGTCGCTGTTAAACCACTTAATGTCATGTTGGCATCACATACGCTCAGCGTTATACCTCATACTGCTACACATAATGGTTTCGAGTCATACCTCATTCTCTCCATGTTGCATCATATAGTATCCCTCTTACACCTCATATTGCCACTGTCACTTCATGCTGATACACCTCATACAGTTACATCCAATACTGTTGCACTATATAATGTCTCACACTGCTACCTGATGATCCCACTGCTGTGCCTCATACTGACACATTACACCTCATACCCCTGATGTTATTGTTAATACAACAACGCTACACATGATTATCAGTATGTTATACTTATTTTCATCACGTTACACCTGATACTGCTCTTACATTTCATACTGTTATGTTTCACCTCAAAGTACCACTGTACATCTCACAGTGTCACTGTTACAACTCATACTGCCACTGTTACACCTCATACTGCCACTGTTACACCTCATATTGCCACTGTTACAAATCATACTGCTGATGTTACACCTCATACTGCCATTGTTACACCTCATACTGCTACTGTTACACCTCATACTGCCACTGTTACACCTCATTCTGCCACTGTTACACCTCATACTGCTGCTGTTGCACCTCATATTGCCACTGTTATACCTCATACTTCCACTGTTACATCTCATACTGCCACTGTTATACCTCCTACTTCCACTGTTACACCTCATACTGCCACTGTTATACCTCCTACTTCCACTGTTACACCTGATACTGCCACTGTTATAGCTCCTACTTCCACTGTTACACCTCATACTGCCACTGTTATACCTCCTACTTCCACTGTTACACCTCATACTGCCACTGTTATACCTCCTACTTCCACTGTTACACCTCATACTGCCACTGTTATACCTCCTACTTCCACTGTTACACCTCATACTGCCACTGTTATACCTCCTACTTCCACTGTTACACCTCTTACTGCCACTGTTATCCCCCACACTGCCACTGTCATGACTAATACTGTTACATTTATGTTCCATAACATGGCATTCATTCTAAGAGAAATGAAGCTGAAATTTATCTCATTGGATCAAGAACCTCTAACCATCATCAAAACCTTCTCAGGAATAGCTATCATTGTATTATGAGACTTGGCCTCAGTATTGTTATGCTATTGTGCTGTTGTATTCAGTCACCTTGTGTGACCTTGTGTCGCCGTGTGTGACCTTGTCAGACTTTGTGTAATTTTGTGTGTCTCTTTGTGACTTTGTGTGACTGTGGCATTGTGTGGTTTTGTGACATTGTGTGATTTTTGTATGACCTTGTGTGACTTTGTGTTACCTTGTCTTACCTTATCTAATGTATGTAACTTAAAGTCACGTCTGACGACCTGCTTAGACATATGACTTAGTGTGACTTCTGGTGACCTGGTGTGACCTATGATGACTTATTGAGACATCTAGTGACCTGGTGTGACTTATGATGATTTATAGTGACCTTTGATGACCTTTTGTGACCTATAATGACTTACTGTGACCTCTGGTAACTGGTATGACCTATGATGATTTAACATGACCTCTAGTGGTCTGGTGTGACCTGTGATGACTTAGTGGGACCTTTGTGACCTATGATGACTTAATGTGACATCTAGTGACCTGGTGTGAGCTACGATGACTTAGTGTGACCTCTGGTGACCTATGATTACTCAACGTGATATTTGGTGGCCTGCTGTGAGCTATGATGACTTAGCGTGACCCCTGGAGACCTATGATGACTTAATGTGACATCCGGTGATCTGGTGTGAGCTATAATGACATCGTGTGACCTCTATTGGCCTGGTGTGACCTCTCTTGACCTGGTGTGACCTCCCTTTCTCTCTCTTTCTGCAGCAAGTGAAGGACAAGCACAAAGCAGAATCAGAGAAGCCTCCGTACTTCGACCTGAGTTGCCTCAAGTACCGCACCGTACAGGTGTTACTGATCACGGCTGCCATCACCTCTGTAGGCCTCTACACTCCTCTCTTCTACCTGGTGAGTACCTGGCCTCAGTCTGATTAGTACCTGGCCTCATACTCACTTGGCAGGACGGTAGTACCTCCCTGGGTGGTTGCTGTCTACCAACCTACTACCTATATATATATATATAATATATATATATATATATATATATATATATATATATATATATATATATATATATACAAACACTGATCTCTGGCTGAAGGAGACTCGAACCAAATTTTATCAAAGTTGTTTTTTCAAAAAGTCAGTAGGGATTTGGCAGCAATAATCTCCAAAATGATTAAGAGATTATGTCGACGTCCTTCCAACATTTCAATTTGCTTAGCTTGAGTTTACGTAATGATTACCGTTATCTACATGGTGTGTACCATTATCTACCTGTGAGTAGCAATATCTATCTGGTACGTGTCACTGTCTACCCGGTAAATACAATTATGTGCCTGGTAAGTACCATTTTTATCTGGTGACTACTAATATCTACCTCGCATGAACTAATATGTTCCTTGTGAGGACTACCATCTACCTGATGTGCACCATCATCTACCTAGCGAGTATCATCATCTACCTTGTGAGTGCTAGCATCCACCTGCCGAGTTCACTTACTAATATTATCCGCATTGTTGTCGTAATCCTGTGTCGACTATGAATGATTAAAATGAGGAAATATTATATATCGAAATAACAGATGAAATCCCCTGCCAGCGTAAACCTGCCTACCTGCGCTGGAAGATAGGATCAAGCCGCCAGAGCGTGCTCCAGTTAAACGGCTGACTACTGGTGCGCACACCGGTTAACTGGATCACCGCTCAAACGTGTTACAAACATTTGTTGAAACCTATGTCTCTCTGGGTATTAGCTCTTCAATCTAGTAATTCACCAAAAATACTGACCAAGCTTTGTGGCTTCACCTCTAAGTTAGAATTCCTGTTGTTGGACTGTCACTCTATCCACACAGCAAAAATATCTTACCGAGCTGCTCTTCATCTCAATAATTTTGTGTGTGTGTGTGTGTGTGTGTGTGTGTGTGTGTGAGTGTGTATATATACATATACATATATATATATATATATATATATATATATATATATATATATATATATATATACATGTCTTGCCGAATAGGCAGAACTTGCGATCTTGGCTTAAATAGCAACGCTCATCTTGCCATATAGGACAAGTGAAAATTTGTGTATGCAATAATTTCGCAAAAATCATTCTGAACCTAACGAAAAAAATATATTTCACTGTGTTTGTTTAGTATTAAATTATTGTAAACAAATCTAAAATATATTTAGTTGGGTTAGGCTAAAATAAATTGTTCTTGTTATAATAAGGTTAGGTAAGTTTTTAAGTTCCTTTTGGTGCAAAATTAAAAATTTTTACATTAACAATAATCAAAAAAATATATCTTTAAACTTATAGGAGAAAATTTTAGAAAGGACTTAATTTTAAATAAGTTCTTGCTAATTGACCAGTTTTAAATATTCGGCACGACATATATATATATATATATATATATATATATATATATATATATATATATATATATATATATATATATATATATATATATATATATATATATATATATATATATATATATATATATATATATATATATATATATATATATATATAATGATATGGTGGTCCTGCTCATTGCAAGTTTAGCTACACAAAGAGGTGTATGTCTCTCAATATATTTACATATACTGAGGATTTTACCATCCTCATTTTAGATATTGCAGTATTCTTTACTGGTGGCGAACAGGTTACCTGCAGTACAAATGTCCCTCGTATCATCGTTAAGACTAACCATAATTAATCAACTAATCACTCCTACTCACCAGCTAGGTTTCTCTAAATATTCTTTTCCCAGACATATCGAACTCGTCTTCTATCCAAAAATTGGTTAGATTCCCCGACTTCACCTCAGAGTTAGAGTTCTCTTTTCTACATCTGATCTCCCATTCAGATGCTAATTAAACCCCATGAGTATACATTTCTCTCGGGTTTACCCTAGAGGTATGGGTGGCAGCAGGAGTGGTTTTTGTGTTTCCAACAACAGACGGCCTCATCAAATCTCCCTCTTAATAATGCTGGTGACTCCAACCCATTCCCCTCCTTTTATTGTTGTTGGCCACATGTTTCCTTCAGCGACTAGCCTTGTTCAATATACAAGATCTTCCATCAGGCTTTGTAAATTTTTAACCTCTAACTGTTGCTCAATTTCTGCCTGTAAGACTTTTGCTTCTAAAGTCGATTTTCTGGATAGCCTCTTGTAATATCTTGAAAATGCCACTCCACTATCAGGCTTGCGAGAAAGGAACTGAGGTGAAACCAGGTGTCCTGCTTGTGTCCGTTAGCGAAGAGGGAAATGGTGACTGCTAATCTTTCACTCTGTGGTTTTATCAGGCAACTCCAGGCCACGTAATGAAAGTCCCATGCAAGGTGACCTTGAATCAGAAATTACTGGGTAGGGGGTAGAGGAAGCCTTTATAAACTCAGTGAAAGTAAGAGAAAGACTTAGTGAGGAGCCTTGGTTATACACAGAGCTGGAGGTCTGTGGGAAAATTTTGGGGAGTGATCTGTTCCAAGGACTTTTGTGTGTGTGTTTCAGATTTCCTCAGCTGTTTGTCTCTATAGTCTTATATCATCACTATAGTCTTGTATCATCTAAGAATAAGATCTCTTTCTCTTTGACCAAGTTTATTATTGTACAAGTATTAATAAACTGCGATTGGGTGGAATGATCTATTCACTTTTCTCATCATTAATTTGTTATTCATAAAAATTTAAAAGTTAAGTAGAAGTGTTTAAAATCCCAGTATGTAGTAAGAAGAAGTAGTGTAGTCTGTGTTGGCTCACCTTATTACTCATACCTGGATACCTGGAGAGAGTTTCGGGGGTCAACGCCCCCTCGACCCGGTCTATGACTAAGCATGTTGAGGAGAAAAAAAGATGTACCTTTCTTCCCAGTGAGATAACATGGTGTTCCAGCTGGGGTGGTTTTTTATAATTATTATATTAAAAATCAGTCCCATGTGCCTTTCGATTGCTCGGCACATCTATGAATGACGAGATGGACATCGACGCAATGTACATCATAACCTAGAGAAGTGCATTTAACTCTTCTGTGAAAACAGTCCAAGTCTGGTAAATGACCTCGGTTGATTTTGTCAGGAAAATCTGTTTCTGAAGTGTCAAACATTCACACATTTAGCTTGCTCGTGGGCTTTGTTTTAGCCTCGAAGAAGAGAAAAAAATAACATTTTAATTTCTTTTATATAGAGTCAGTGTATCCACAGCAGTTTACTGCATGGCAGTGAATTCCTTGGTCCACTTGAAGGGCTAGGGAAAAGTGGTGGCCATGGGCCGTAAAGATGAGGAAAAAAAAGTGTACCATTTTTGACAGTACTTGGGTAATTGGACTATCTAAACAGGAATCGTAACACTGAAACAATTCTCTGTCGAGTGACGAATGAGCAGCTCATTTCCTCATGGCTACCTGGACATTTTCTTATTTTTTGTGTCACTGACGGCCGTTCACGTTTAACCTTTCTTCCTCGGCTGCATTATAATGATGAGCTTTTTAAGTGGATGCATAAGTTTTTAATATTTTAAGACCAAGATTTTATTGATCTCCATTAATGGGCATGTGTAGTTTAAGATGGTTTTAATAGTGGTTTTTACATATTATTACATAGTAGTTGTATACTTATTGGTGCATTCAGTTATATACACAGAGCGCCGAATGACCACCTGGTTCAAAAGCATTACAGATGAATAAAGATTACACTAAACAAAATATATGGTGGTCTAGGACCCAAAGGAAAGTATAGACTTCTTGATGATAGATGCTCTCTCTTCTTCTTCTCTTTTTTTTTTTTTTTTACACAGGGTGTGACAGGGTTAGGTTAAGGATCCCTAAGTTTTTTGACAAGCTACTGACAAGTTATTAAGGATTCCTAACTTTATTGACAAGCTAAGAGCTGTTACCTACATCATCATTTTCATTGTTATGACATATACAGGTAAGGAACAGGATGAAGTTGGAGCCATTTGTGGGCCAGCATTGTCATTTAATCAACTGACTTTATCTCGTTGACATCATAATGCTGTACGAATGTGTTCCATACTCGAGTCATCCTGGGAATAAACGATCTCAGATGGAGTGTTGTTCTGGAGAAGGGTACAGCCAGAGTGAAATTGCTGCTTTCTGCCCGTCTTGTGGTATAGAAGCATGTATCCCGCTGTCTCTCTCTCTCTCTCACTCTATCTCTTTCTTGCTCTTTCTCTCTCTCTCTTTCTTTCTCTCTGACTCAAGACTGGATTTTCAGCCAGTCTAGGCAATTGCCTTCCAGAGATGAAGCTTCAGAATGTAGAATGATGATTTTATTTAATACCCTCAAACTTCTCGAAAAGAATGTCTTTGATCTGCTACAACTCTCTTCCAAACACAATAGATATTCAGGGATAACCCAATTGGACTTTGTTTACGCACAGTCCTCGAACTTTTTTATGCAAATAGATATCGTTTTCTGCCGGGTCTAGATTCCTCACCGGTGTAACTTCTTCTGCAGATCCTGGGCGCCCAGAGAGAGGGACTGGAAGATTCTGCTCTCATCCTTCTGCAGACTTTCCTGGGGTTCGCCTACGCGCTGGGCTGCATCGGCTTTGGTCTCATCGTCGTTAAACAGAGCGCCCAGTGCATGATATCTCGCCAGTATCTGTGTCAATTTTCCATCTACAGTCTTGGTAAGTAATTTTTGTACTGGGCTGAGGATGTAATAGTTAACTAAGCCTTCAAAATCTGTAAATGGCTTCCGCCTGTAGTGCTTAGTGATATGTGCATATTTGAGCTAAAAATTGATGTACACCTGAAGGGTGTTTCGGGGGTCAGTGCCCCCCCGCGGCCCAGTCCATGATCTGAATCGTCGAAATATACAATAAAATATTTTTCTATATTTTCTCTGTATTTTTATAATATTTCATATATTTTAAAAATCATACGAAAGGTACAATAAAATCTACTTCGGCTAAAAAATAATGATTTTTTAATCAAAATAATTTAATTCTAGTGGTACTCAGAAAAATAGTCAGTGAAATCGTAAATTATCCACACTTTACATGAAGATGAGGATTTACTGAGTGGACTGAGAATGTAAGAGGCTGAGAGTGAATGGAAATACCTTGTAGTAGCCTCAGATGTTTGTGACTGAATAAGCAACAGATCACTACTAGAGTGGGCTGATTGTGTTGTAATATGAAGGTACTCTGTCCTATAAATGTAAAGAGCTTATACTGGGCTGAAGAAGACGACTGGAGGAAATATTTCTTTTTTTTTATTTACACATCAGTCGTTTCAAGGCAGGGTGACCCGAAAAAGAAGAAACACTTTCATCATCATTCACTAAATCACTGTCTTGCCAGAGGCGCATTTACACTACAGTTAAACAACTGCAGCATATCAGCACCCCTTCAGTGTACAGGTACTGTACTTCCCAATGTGCTAATGAAAGTATACAAGAGGGAATGTTTATTAGCTTGAATATCAGTTATGTGTAAGAAACTCTGTAAATACTTGACTAATTGTACGTTTGAGTGGATTATTCATTGCATTAACCATATAATGCATTAAAATGCATTATTTCAGTAATAATGTCTCTGGCACCTTACATACGATGTCGTTGATGCCATATTCTTAAAATAAATAGCTTATAGTCTCCTAAGTTAAAGTAATTTGTGAACCAAAAATTTAGTTCGAAATATAAATCGAATTCGGAGGGAAAAACTGGATAACACTTGAGTGTCACGAAAAGGAAGTTAAAAATTGAAAGTTACCTTGGAGAATAACTTCAATAACTGCCATTGTCCAGGGATGCTACATTCTTGCCATGGGTCATGCAGCAGGTATCTGACATCCCGGATGGACAGGTAAATAAAACCCGTCGTCAGACGTCAGTTAACTCGTGACATTCGACAGTCCTTTACGGAGAAAGCTGCTTCAAAATTGGAACAAAAGGGAATTATTTCTCCACCTGTTAGTGCAATCTGAGTTTGTGTATAGGAGTATAGGAGTTTCTGACTGCCTACAGTGTTTTTCTAAATTGATTAATCAGAAATCCCTGTAGAGAAGTCCCGATCAGTCGAGGTGTGTACAGGAATCGAGTGAGACACAGCTGGCTTTACCAGCTCATCGACCTCCTCAATTCCAGAATCATTAACAAGAACTCGGACCCATTTCAGTAAACGTCGCGTAACTGGGATAAACCTCTTCCATTTCTAGCCTGGAAGAGTGAAAAGGGTTAAAACGTACAGTCCTTAAAGAACACTCCTTAAAGTGACAATATTAAGTAAAACTGACACACTTTAGTATAGCTATCATTCTTTATGCATACAACTTAATATTTAACTCAATTGACAAGCTCTTACAGTGACAAATTCTAGAAAACAATTCTAGACTCGACACAGGTAAAACACCTACTATATGTCACCTCAGGCCATCGTCAAGGTGAAATTGTGGGATACATGAATAAATCAACAGATATGTTGGAGAAAACTTTAAAATTGAATTAGTTCTCAAACTAAATGCATCAAGATACCAGCAATTAGCATCGGAACTCCGAGCTGTCCTCACAGCCTTCTGACGGAGGCTGGGCATAGGGAAGGTAGAGAAGTCCCCAGTGTCCAGATGCATTAAGGTTCCATGAATCACATTCAATATCACATAATCGTCTGGGCAAAATCAAGGCAAAAGTAAGTTTATTTAGGTACAGGTACACATAAATACAGTTACAATAATTATCATACATAGCAGCATATGTGTAGATTACCCAGATAGCCCAAAAAAGTCAAACAAAGTGACTTAATTCCATTTGGGATTCTTATTGATGCTTTAACTGGATTCATGAGAAAATGGTAAAACCGTATCAGCGTCAAGTACACAAACAGGCCAAAATCAAGGGTGCCTTCGAAATAAGATAACATCCACGAATAACTCAGCATCATCAGAACTTAATAATGGCACAGGACGGACCGAAACGTCGTCCAGTTTCCTCTGGAAATCGTAGTTATTTTTTAATATTTCCAGCCACGATATTGTGATTATTAATTTATTCTTTGACACAAGATATAGATCCAGATTCACGTTGACGCTCTAGACTTGACATAGATGAATAGCTATCGTCTTTCCAGGTGAAATTTTAAATCGATGATCCGCCACCATATGTAAACTGAAAAAAAAAAAGTTATTCCTGTTTACTGCCGAAAACTCCCATTGGAAGGACATCAGTCGGTATGGCAGAACTAAATGGAACTCACTTCCCGCAGGACTCCCTCTTCCTAATGAACGGTGCAGACATTATTCTTAACTCTAACGTGAAGCGTTTGATCTATGCGAATTCTCTGTACACAAATAGTCAAAATACAAAAACGAGAACGGAGACTCCCATGTCTCCACTGAGGAAGAGTTAGAGACATGTGTAGAAAAGGAAGTAATCAGTCTTTCAGCCTAGCAGAATTAAATGCAGAAGACAATAGAAGTTGAGGTAATCAGTCCCTCATCCTTCACTCTTCAGGCAATATTCTATAGTCTATACCTTCTAAACATTAAGGAAAAATAAATGATTACATAATGATTACATAATTACGAATTTTTGAGAGACTGAGGATTTCTGACAAAGAAGAACATCAGTAGAAGTGTATCTCATTAATGTGCACTCTGGTCACTAAAGGAGCTTATCATATACGAGGAAGCAAATTAATGTTTCATTTATCATATCGAATCATGCAAAATCGGCGAATCCCTCCTGAAGACGAAAATAGTTACGCCATCATAAGTTGCTATCATTTTTTCTTTAAGAAAACGTGAGGTCAGGGAAAACTCTAGGGATTTTTTTTATCAGTTTCTAGATCACTGAAACCAGACGAGCAGTCGCCATTGAACCCGACGAAATTCTGCCTTCCTGTGATTAATGGGTGACGAAATGCTGCCTTCCTGTGATTAATGGGTATCAGCAGCAGCCCTCAAGGCCTCCCACGCCTAACGTACAAGCAGTTATACCAAGGAACTGAGTGCTTCAGTCTGGTAATGCGCTTTATCGTTTTACAAGACGTCAGCGGTCTAATGCACGCCTTCGCAGATCTATAGTTACCAAATCCACACTGGAACCACGGATATAGTATCTTACAATACCCTGTCTTCATATTTATATGATTTTTACCGAATATAAGAAGTGGACTATACTCGTATAGTTTACTGGACTGTACAATTGATTGCGGAATTAAATTTATCAGTGGATAGATAATTATTATTAAGATACATGCTCAGATATCATGATACAATAAATTAATGCAGTTCCTTGAATTTTGGGTAGACTGTGTCGTGACCCATGACACTCAAAGAGGAAGTCGTCGCTAACTAAATTTCTGTCCAAATCTATATATATATCTTGTAAAATAACTGAGTTGATGGGGTATAAATATCTTACTCTTCTAAGTGTCAGCTGTGGTTTAATGGCTATAGTTTCTTTTTTTGCATGTTGTAGCAGCCACAGTGATTTTTCTTGGAGACATCCAGGTGTTTGTTTGCTGGAGTGATAGATGTTTATTCATAGTTCTTTCGATCAGTCTTCTGCACACCCTTTCCCATCGCTCGCCACCTTTCAAAGAGTGAGTGAACACCTTAGGATGCTAAGATGTCGCCCTTGGAGCATATCGCAAATTACAATAATTAATTTCCTGTTATTCAATTTATTTGACGTCTTTTAATTATATTCGCTTTTCTAAATCTATAATGAATCTTAATTCATTTTCAACATATTATAAAATGCATTTAAATGTATTACACTGTTTCCTCTATTCTAAGTTATTAACGTATTCTCATTTCTAATACTAATATAAATATTACTGAGGACAAGAACATTTTATATTCCACAAATAACTGAGAAATGGTCATTTTTTCTTTCCAGTCAGCTGTGACAGTAATGGCCGAACTGGGCCATTACTGTATGTTATACGATACAACTTATCTACAGCACAATAAATAGTTATTTTTGTGTAAATGTTTATTTTCGTAGATATACGGAAAATATTGAATTTATTTTAGCCTAAACTCAACACACCACACAGTCAACACACCAGCCATGCACAGCAAACGTAAACAAAGACTCGCTATGCTAGTTCCATTTCTGACAGTAACTGAGTAAATTACTTTCTGTTATATTAGGCTGTCTGGATACGCTAGGTTATATCTGGTTACGCTAGGTTATGTCTGATTACGCTAGGTTATATCTGCTTACCCTAGGTTATATCTGCTTACGCTAGGTTATGTCTGGTTATGCTAAGTTATGTGTGATTAAGCTAGGTTAGGTTGGGTTTCGTTAGCGATGGCAGAACCAACTTAAGATTATACATCTTAAATTATATTTTAATGCCAATGTACGCCGAGGACCAATATTTACTTACTGCTAAAATTTAATTATCTTCAGACAACATAGTTACATGAACCTTAACAATTAAATAATGCAAAGATTATATAGAACGAGAAGAGTATGTATCTAAGCGTATATATACTATGAGTTTGCTTTAATTACTCTTTTAGGGATTAAAGCATTCTTGATTGGAGGTGAACAGGATTTAAATTGTATTCACCTAACCATTCAAATAATACACACACATATACATCGAGAGGTGTATGTCTCTCAGAGTACGTGATGATGCCACCCCCATCCCCGTCTCTTAAGGCCTCTTAATAT